AATGACATAATTATAACAGGGTAGGTCGGTTACATTATGATAATTATCTATAAAAAATAACTATTCTTTTTATATTGAACTCATAATAAATAGATAAATAGGTAATTTGGGTTGGACTTTTATAGAAACTCTTTTAAAACCTCTTTTTATATCAATTAATAAATAATTTTTAATATTAATAATATTTATCTAATTAGATTTCCTTTTATTAAAAAAACTCATAATAAATAGATAAATAGGTAATTTGTGTTAGAATTTTATAGAAACTCTTTAAATATTTCTTTGTCTAGTGTAATAGAGTTTTATTGAAAATAAAATAGGTAATTTGTGATAGAGTTTTATATAAATTATTTTATTTTCTTTAAATATATCCTTATCTAATTAGATTTAATTTTACTAACAAACTCATAATAAAAGCTAATTTGTGGTAGAGTTTTAGAAAAATTATTTTGTTTTATATATCAATTAATAAATATTCTCTAATTACATTTTTTTTATTAAAAAATTCATAATAATAAATAGATAAATAGGTTAGTTTAAATTTTATTATTTAGATTTTAGTTTTTTAAATATTTTTTTATATAAATAAATAAATACTTAAATACTGAATCTCTTTGCACATCTAATAATAGTATAGAAATTCTTTGACAGAATTCTTATATTTTACTCTAAAATTCTGAATTTCTAGAATTTTCAATTTCTATACCCCTTCCTCCTTCCTCCATGCCTCTATTTATAGGACTCTTGGATTAGTAGGATGATGATCTGTATCCTTTTCTCATAATTACATAATCATAACTGGGCCGGGCCGGTTATATTATGATAATTATTCATAAAAAATAACTATTCTTTTTATATTAATTGAACTAAAAATAAGAGTTTTATATAGAATATGATTGATTTTATTAAGTAATTTTTAGAGTTTTATAGAAACTATTTTTACAAAAACTATTTTTATATCAATTAATAAATATTTATTTATATAAATAAATAAATACTGAAACACGTTGCATTATTTTATTAGCTAATTTTTAATTAATAAATATTTTTTAGTTTAATAATTCTTGTCTAATTAGATTTACTTTTAATAAAAAAAACTTATAATAAATAGATAAATAAGTAATTTGGGTTAGAGTTTTATAGAAACTCTTTTAAAACCTCTTTTTATATCAATTAATAAATAATTTTTTATATTAATAATACTTGTCTAATTAGATTTCCTTTTATTAAAAAATTCATAATAAATAGATAAATAAGTAATTTGTGTTAGAGTTTTATAGAAACTCTTTAAATATATCTTTGTCTAGTGTGATAGAGTTTTATTGAAAATAAAATAGGTAATTTGTGATGGGGTTTTATAGAAATTATTTTATTTTCTTTAAATATATCCTTGTCTAATTATATTTAATTTTATTAAGAAACTCACAATAAAAGCGAATTTGTGGTTGAGTTATTATTTTGTTTTATATATCAATTAATAAATATTTTTTATATTAGTAATTCTTGTCTAATTAGATTTTCTTTTATTAAAAAATTCATAATAATAAATAGATATATAGATTAATTTAAATTTTATTATGTAAATTTTAGTGTTTTAAATATTTTTTTATATAAATAAATAAATACTTAAATACTGAAACTCTTTGCACATTTAATAATAGTATAGATAAAAGCTCTTTTTATATCAATTAATAAATATTTTTTTATATAAATAAATAAATACTGAAACTCTTTGGCAGAGTTTTCGTATTTTACTCTGGAATTATGAATTTCTAGACACAGATGGAAGAGAATATGCCAAGGATCACCTTATTGTGAACTAACAATTCGTGAACTGTGGCGATTGATTATTCGTTACAAAACAATAAATAAATAAATAAATCAAGCAATACTCAATTGTTATTGGTGTTCAAAGTTACCAAATATCTAAATTTGTAAAACAAATCAATGTCTAAGAGCTTGTTGAATAATAAAACACCATGAATTATGAGCTCAAGTTGTTATGAATATTGCAGGGTTCTATGTCATCTTATAATGAGTAGTCATTGTTAAAATCCTTAAAGTTTTTTTTTTTAAATCCTCAATGATTTTTTTATTTTTTTATTTTAAATCCATAAAGTTTTTTATTTTTTATTTTTTTATTCACTTGACTTTTGTGAAGCAGCAAGAATTATCTACATTTCAGAACTAAAACAAAAGAATCACGCTATTTTCAGAGTCACAAACTCACAGTCATTCCAATAAGCATACCGAATGATTTAGTAGCCATTTAATGCATTAGGGAAGGACACCAAATGAGTCCTACATAAGTGCCTCAAATGACTACCAGCTATTCGGTCTCTTATTTTAGTTGATTGTTTTTCACTACAACAATCATTTTCCGAAACTAAAGCATGAGAAATTATTATTTTTACAAAAACTATTTTTATATCAATTAATAAATATTTTTTTATATAAATAAATAAATACTGAAATACATAAACACTTTGCATGATTTTATTAGGTAATTTTTAATTAATAAATATTTTTTATTTTAATAATTGTTGTCTAATTAAATCTACTTTTATTATAAAAAAAACTCATAATAAACAGATAAAAATGTAATTTGTACTTAAATACTGAAACTCTTTGCAGATCTAATAATAGTATTATATCAATTAATAAAAAAAAAATTTTATATAAATAAATAAATATTGAAACTATTTGGCAGAGTTTCTGTATTTTACTCTGGAATTCTAGATTTCTAGAATTAGATAAATAGGTAATTTGTGTTAGAGTTTTATAGAAACTCTTTTAAAAATAATTTTTTATATTAACAATACTTGTCTAATTAGATTTCTTTTTATTAAAAAAACTCATAATAAATAGATAAATAGGTAATTTGTGTTAGAGTTTTACAGAAACTTTTTAAATATATCTTTGTCTAGTGTGATGTAGTTTTACTGAAAATAAAATAGGTAATTTGTGATTGAGTTTTATAAAAATTATTTTATTTTCTTTAAATATATCCTTGTCTAATTAGATTTAATTTTACTAAGAAACTCATTATAAAAGCTAATTTATGGTAGAGTTTTAGAAAAATTATTTTGTTTTATATATCAATTAATAAATAGTTTTATATTCATAATTCTTGTCTAATTAGATTTTATTTTATTAAAAAATTCATAATAATAAATAGATAAATAGGTTAATTTATAGATCATTTGGTTAAGCACAATTGATTATAGATTGAATTTTAATTTTATTAGGTACTTTTGAGTTTTATAGAATTTATATCGTGGGATATAATAATTAATGAGAGCTCTTTATTGTGAATTAAACTCTTTTTATATTTTGAATTTTATTAGGTAATTTTGAGTTTTATAGAATTTATATCAATTAATAAATAAATACTGAAACTCTTTGCACAAAGGCCGAAAAAGTAGTACTACACTTGATCTTAACTAAAAGACCAAGAAAAGTTAGCCAAAAGGCCGACCCAAAAATATTTAATACTACACTTGATCTTAACCAAAAGGTCAAAAAGGTGTGATTATTATTTCTTTAACTCTATAGTTTTATAAGAAGCTTTCATATAATCCTTTTTACTTAAAACCAATGTAAGACTTTGTAATTTGAATTAAACTCTTTTTATATTTTGTTAATTTGAATTAATTTTAATTTTATTAGATAATTTTGAGTGTTGTAAAATTTATATCAATTAATAAATAAATACTGAAATACTGACACACTGAAACACATTTAATTATATATATATATATATATATATATACTAGTAAAAGGCACGTGCAATGCACGTGATAAATATTTTTTAACTTATATAATTTATATTTTTATATATTTTTTAATTGTTTATAATTTTATGAAAGAAAATAGGCAAAACAGTTTCAGGCCCAGAATGCCCTAGAAAGTAATAATTGTCACCTCAAAAGAAACAAAATAATGTTTTTCATTGATGTATGAATGAAAACTATAAACATTTAAAAAATATATGAAAATAAAATTCTATAATTTACAAAATATTCATAAATAAATACTATATAAAAATTCTATATATTATAAATTCCGAAAGGGTACCAACAATTTTTAGATTGTAATAATTGTCACTTCAAAAGAAACAAAATATATTAAAAAATCCAAAACTATAACTGTTTAAAAATAAAAGTATTCTTAAATTATTTATTTCTCAATCTCTATCTTTTTTTATATTTCATCTCTTCATGAAATGAATCATTGTCAAGTGTCAATTCTTTTAATTCTTCCATCGCAAAATAAGTTTTCACGACTTATTATTGATTATTGTCTATCTTCACTAGAAAAAGAAAAAAATTTCCTTTACGGCTTGTCACTTTGTTGCTGAATTCATTCATGTCTTGCAAAAAGAACAAATATAATTTAGAGCTATTAAGAATTTAGAGCTATTGAGAAATTTAAGTAAATATTTTTTAAATTTAATAAAAATTTTATGAATAAGGATGAAAAATTACCTCAATTTGTAATTGTAATAAATCATTTAGTGAACAATTTATTAATATTTGGCAATCATTAAACATTGTTAAGGTTGCAAATGTTCCAATATGTTCCATACTTTGCACTTTAATTATCATCATGAATCTGCACATGAGTAAAGACAAAGAATCATGTATTTGTAATATTATTAAACCATTGAAATAAATACAATAATAAGATTAATTTTAAGATATAATAATACTTTTGAAAGCATTTTGGGTCTGTTGTGTTGCATCAAGGACAATACACCCTATCTTTTTCAACTTTAATTTTCTTGTTGCATTTCTCATACGCGTTGTACCACGGTTCACGATCATTGACGACATTTTCAATTATTACTTCGAAAGAGTAATTTGTTTTTTACAGGTTGTACAACAAAAAATAACTTCTCAATATATAAATTGAATATAAAAATGTGATACACAATTAAGGAAGATTAAGAAATATACTGAAATTTAATACCTCAAAGGATATTGTAGATTTTTCTATTATGTCTTGAAGTTTGACTTTTCAGCACTATTGAATTTTTGATCTTTTGTACTGGAAATCAAACTTGTTATATCTTTGTTATTTATATTCTCTTTGGACCTGTCCACATATAAATTATCTTGTAAAATAATTAATTAAATAAATAAAACAAAAAAAAAAAACTTGTTCTCTTTTTACAAATAGTGTATATATAATGTAAAAGAAGTTACAATAAATAACGAATCAATATATTAATGCTTTGACACTTTCAATATCCATATTAATCCGCAATGTAGATCCTTTTTGTGTTTGAAGAGACAGACCTGGAATATACATTGTTATTTGTAAAAATTTGTTATTATAGATTTACTTAATAATATATAATGTAAATAATATCAATTTTTATGATAATTTACCTTTGTAGATGTTGATTGCCACATATATAACTGTGATGTCATTGAACTCCCATAAAGTTTCCTTCATTCTCAGCAAGATCCTCCCATAACGTCAAAGTAGTTGTCATTGAACTATAATAAAGATTAATTACTTTAGTTATTATATTATATTTACATAATTTTGATTGTATATGTAATATAGTAATGACGTACCTCATATCCATTATAATAACTTCCCGCTTTTTGGTTGTGCCTTTGTTGTTGTTCTTACATATGTTCAATGAAGGAGATACCTCAATAACAATTCCCAAAGCATTTAGCAAGATTAAACATAAAATAAAAAATAAAATATTAATGTTAATTTTAATTTTTTTTATTATATATGTACAAGAGATAACATATATATGGAGAGTTGAGAATTAAGCAATAACTAACCCATATTTTCTTTTGCATCAATTACTTGTTCAGCTCCTTGAAATCCACAAAATTAAATTTTATTGTTTCTAAGCTTACTACAAGCTCCTCAAGGTGTTACTAAAAAACTTCAATTCAACAACTTCAGTTCCTGTAATGACCTGGTTATTTTCCTTCCTTTCCTTTTTCTTCAAATTTTACAGATAAATTTTTTCTGCTGTTATTTCTTTTCTGTATTCGATTTTTCGTCACTTTGTGTCATCTAGAGTTCTCAGAAATGACTTCTGAGACTCTTTCCTTTGAATTAACAACTTTTCTTAAGGACCGAGTTATTTTCACATTTTCACTTTTTGGACACTATTCACTTTTCGTCTTTTTCCTGTTTGTCACTTTGTTGGTACAACCTCACTTTTCGTGTTCAGATTTGATTCTGGTTTTGCATACATGCACAATATTTAAATTTCATGCTATATGTATTTTTACTTTCTTATAAAAGCATGCTAAGTATTTACTTTTCTTATAAAGGGTATGGATGCATAACCTTTTTGTAATATTCTTAACTTATGGGGTTTAAGTGTAATTAAATAAAGTAATTATTTTTCGTCTTAGGGACCATTTTGTAATTTAATTTAGAAGATATTTTGAAAAAAGACCTTTTTGCAATTTTTGAAAAGTTTGACAAGTGTCACACTCGTATGGAACCACTTGTTGACATTTTAGTGGAACCACTTAGCAGCTTAATCTCTTGACACATGGAGGGTGGAGATTCACCCATTTGTTGACCTAGGATTGGACCATTTGTTGGCTTGGATGGATGACAAGTGTAGGCTAGGGATTTAGTGTAGGAAGGAGCCTTAGATTAATAACAAGTGTAAGGTTCATTGTAGGTTTTGCACTATGCGAGTGTGAAGACCATGGTGTAGACTCACATAGTGAGTGGAGGAATGCTAAATCCTCCACTCACCACATTTTAATTCATCTTCCTCACCACTTTGTTCTCAAACCCTAACTTAGCCTCCATGGAAAGAAAAGCTTGACTCAAGGTTTTGACTTCATTTTTGGCCTCCTTCCATCCACCTTAGACCATAAAGTTTAGAATACTTTTTATTCCCCTCATCCTCCTCTACATAACCTTTGAAGGGTTTGCCATTTTGTATTGATTTGCCTTGAATTCAAGAGAAACAATCCTCTTGTGAGGTAGGGGGTGTTCTAGTTTATTTATCTAAGGGTTTTATTTACTTTTGTAGTGAAATACAAGTTATATGCATGTTTTATATTAATTTGAAAAATTAATGATTAATTATGCCTTACTTGTAACTCACTTTAGACTTGGTATATGGCATGGCCTTGACTTGATCTTTGTCATATAATTATTTGAAATCATTTGAATGAGTTTTCAAATCTACAGATTTAATGAATTTAATTTGATTTAAAATTCTACTTAATGGTACCTTACTTGTATTCCATTTTTGACTTGATATATGGCATGGCCATGACTTAGTTCTTGTTATATATGAATTTGGGATCATTTGAACAACTTTTGAAAATTAGAGATTTAATTAATTTAAATTAATTAAATTCTACATGATGATGTCTTACTCATTTTGCACTTTTGATTTGATATATGTAATGACCATGCTATATTGTTTTACATATATTAATTTGAGGTTATTTAGAATTGATTTAAAATCTAGAGAATTTAATTATTTTTATTTAATTAAATTCTATCTAATTACTTCATGGATTTAATTATGTTTTAGAAGTTGTTTCTATGTTTAAATTATAAACTTGGACTTGTTGTATACTCACTTGGTTACGCTTTGAGCATTAAATAACATTATTGTTATATTTATATTTATAAGAACATGTTTTCTTTATGGAATATATTGTTGTCTTGTGTAATGAGTTACATACTTTGTTTTTGACATCTTTCATGCCATAGTAGTGGTGGACTTAGAGTATGTATTGTATGTGTTTCCAAATTTAGTTGTGTATGATTGATAGTTGATTATCTTGTATATACATGTTGATATATACGTTGTTGCACAACTTGTTGATTTTGGAAACTTGGGATGTCGTTATTTGGCTACGACTAGGACATGGTTCTAGTACGGGGGAATGTCCTCCTATAGTCTAGTGCGCACATAAGGTGGTTATCCGTGGGCTAGTAACCTTAAAGTAACTCTGGTGTCGGTCTGATCCGGCGTGATGTCCAAGTATCCACCTAGTTTGATTTCGCATTTCAATTCCAAGTTGATAACTAAAAGATGTTGTAACTTGTTGTTCCTTATTTGATTTCCCATTTTAAGTTTCAAGATGTTAACTTTGAGGATTTGTGCTTTATGTGCTGTATTGGAAGTTCCAATGTTTGTTAAGTTGCATCGATATGGTGAATTGTATTTTAAATGTTCAAATGTAACTTAGGAATGATCCTATAAATTCATTTGGAATATAGACGTTAGGTGACATGACCCACTTTAGTTATTTTCGTATTTTAGATTTCAAGTTGATGGCTTTGAGCATCTATACCTTGTTGCTTCGTATAACATGCTTCTATGTTGCATGAATGATGTGACTTATACTAGAAATGAGCTATGGTAGCTTAGGATGATCCCTAAGTCTCACTTTGACATAGACGTTAGGTGGCATGATCCTTTTGAATTGTTTCATGTTAATGTAAAAATCTGTAAAAAGTTGAGTCTATGCATACTCATTCCCTACGAGTAAACTTGTTTACTCACCCCAAAGTTACCGAATGATTTTCCAGGTACGGATGCCTTGGTTTGGGATGCACAATATCCCTGGATCGTTTTGATGAATTGAAGTTCTTTAAGTGTATTATTGTTCATGACTCTTATAAAGGTTGGCTTGAAATGCAACTTGTAACCTTTTATGTCAAAATGTGTATATTCGATTCTAAACATATAATGTGTATATAAATACACTCTTTACAATGTATTTAATATGTATGAGACGAGGTCGGAGGCCAATCACATGTATTTTGTATCCTATGTAATTTTTTTGACTTTATAAAATATTATGAAAATATTGAAAAATGTTGAGTTATTGTTTCACCATAGTTGCATCGGCTGTGGGAATTCCATTTTCATTCTTTCATAGGGTCTCATTAATCATGTATGAAGTGTGGCCAATGCTCAAACGGTAATTTGAAACCATTTCATAATTTTGGATTTCAAAATTTCTATTTCAAGTTCATTTTCGCATTTTTTGCCATTGGGAGGTCGAATTTTACATCGGCAATATTTTTAAGTCATGGACCATTGTAGCACGTCCTAATAGGTAAGTTACGTTTACGTGCATGATCGTTTTTAAGAAAAACCTCTTCCTTGGTGATTTCAGCCTCCCATGGACTCATTTTACATTTTTTTTTTTTTTTCGCATAAATTGAGTATAAGGGTATTTTAGATATTTCACTTGAAAAATAAAAACTTCCCTTGACATGATCATTTTCTTTTTTGTGTTTACTTGCTATCAGCCTCATCTAATTGATTAGATGATAAATCGAGTATAATGGTATTTTGGATATTTCACTTGAAAAATAAAAACTTCTGTTGATAAGGTTATATAGAAAATGTAATTTTAGGAGTAGGTTTCTCCTTTGTGTTTACTTGCTATTAGCCTCATCTAATCGATTAGATGAGCCATCTAATCGATTAGATGATCTTCAGTGGGATTTCCAGCATTCTGTTTTGGCATCTAATTGATTAGATGGTCCTGATTTGTATCTTTTGATCCTTTTTCTTCATTTGATCATAACTTTATCATCCAGACTCCAAATTGAGTGAACTTTTTTTTAAACTTGACTAATTTTTCATTGTCTATCCAACGGTGTGCTCAGTTGCACCCAGATATTTATGAATAATTACCAGTTTACCCTTTTAGCCTTAAGTGCTCGTTTTTCTTCGTCTTGCCTTTTCTCCTTCGTTCAGACTCCGAATCATGTAATTCTGGAATCCATCTTAATTAATTTTTCGTTGTCTTTCTAATGGTGTGCACGGCAGCACCCATTCCTGGGTAAAATGACCATTTTACCCTTGATCCATTTCTTGTAGGGTTTTGAAGACCTTGTTCCCTTCTTGCTTCCTTCGAGTCTCGAGACTCCTCTGGAAGCCACTTTCGTGTCTTAGGGATGGCGTACATCTCTCCAGACTTTCATTTTGTGTGAAAAGACTATTTTGCCCTTGGAGGCATACTTGGTCTATTTTTTATCTTTTTCTCCTGCGTTAGTTCTTGTTGAATTTCATTGCCTCTTGGAAGGTCACTTTGGTTTCTTAGAGACATATTGTATCTCTAGAAACTTGGGTTCTATTTTTTAGTTGACTTAGGGTCTTCTACGACGGTTCTAGCCCATTGTAAAAAGATGGCTTTCTATGACAGGCAGTGCCTGTTGTAGAAATATTGCTTTCTACGACGGTCTACGCCCCTTGTAGAAAGCAATTTAAACAAAAAAAAAAAAATTCAATGGTTGCCTTACATTGCCCCCAACACAAAATCAATACAACTAAACAAAACAATAAATCCAGCCAAAGGTATATATATCAACAACAAGCATTATACAAACAATATGATACAAGATGAAAAAGAGTTCAAGTCATACAAAAATGAAAATTTAGATCTACATCCCACTAATCACAAACAAATAGATCCCAAATTTATTTTTTTATTCATTAAAGATTACAAAGTTCCCTTCAAAGCATTCAAGGCAAGACTCCAGGCAGCTAAACATAATTGAAAACAAAGAAGAAAATTTTAGCCGAAACTCTCACTAAAGAACTCAGGAAAGAAAAAATATATTAAAAATAAATAAATCAGGGCATACACAGATCTATGAATTAATTTACTATGATCCTAGATAACACAGTTCACTACTATGAATCAATTAAGAAATCAGATATTTAAGCACAAATTCATCAAAATAATTGTAAATTATTAACAAGTTATTCATATCAATAGGATTAATTGAGATCACATATAATTATACAAACACATACAAGAGGACGGGAAGGAGGATTGGCAAGCTGAGATTGCTGATATTTCAAAGTGGTCCAATCAAACACATAATCAAACTAAAACCATGAAGCAAAAAGAAAGCAACAAACTTGAATGTGTAACTTTGAAATTAAAAGCATAACTACTACACTTAATTTGATCTTTCCAAAACCTAAAGGATACATAAAAGGTCAACATTATCATACAATTTTAATCAAAAAATATTTCTACAGTTTCTTTCAAGAATTGACTGCTATGAATCATCAAGAATGTAGATATTCAAATTACGCGTAGAATCGTTAAATGAAACGCAAATTCGGGAATGAAAAAAAAAAAAAAAAAAAGAAGAGAAACTTCAAGGATCGACTACTATGAACACAAATTCAAGAAAAATTATTGAACTTGAACTGCTTCATGATTTGAGAAGAAAAATTAGAATAAAATAGGGACTTCTTCATTTGGTAACACATACCCACGTAGGCAAAGAAAAGGCAATACAGAGCTGAAATGGTTGGTGCTGGGATTGAGGCAAAGACAGCTTCGAATTTCCCTGAATAGTAAATTATGTTTAACAAATGTACTTGGAAATGAAGGTTTATTTACTATGGGTTAAACACTTAAACTATGGATTATTTGCATTATTTGGACATCATAACACCTAACTTACCAAGTATGGAAAAGAAAATCATGAAACCAGCAAATATGCACAACACTTCGGCTGCCAACACATGTCAATGCTAACAAACCAGCATTTTCACTGTAGAATGGGAGGAAAAATCAAGTTCTATTCCCTTGCTGATTAAGAATGAAAATTTGCAACACAATTTACAAATTTATTGCACATGAATCTTACACTGATACTGAGGATCCATTCCCGGTTCCAAATATTCCAGAGAACAATATGCAGACTCCCTTCGATAAAGAACAGAATTAAGATGATTAGAACACACAGGACATTAAAAATTACAGAGTCAAATTTGGAGAAGTATTTTATGAACAGAATTCATGACCAAAAGAATTGCATTCAAAGTGACATGGCAGATTAGTTTCCCATCATTTCAAGACAAAGAGCCATCTTTTTAGCTAAATGCCACTACTATGTCAGATGAAAATTTTAGTTAAATTACGAGTGAACCATTCTTTTTAGTTGAGGGGAGGTTCAACAATATTGAGTAGGCCATTAATTCTAATTATTCATTTTGGAAGCAGCCCATGTAAAAATTGAGTGTGGAAAATTGTGCCATATCTAGAGTCTTTTAGGCTTAGCATTGAGGTGTTAATGAAGGCAAAAATACAGACAAAATTATCACTAAGTCAATTTTACCTGCCAACCAACACTGCGACTGAGAATAGAAGGTGGCAAAGGAGTTGCACTTACATGCCTTGACACAGCAATGAAGGCACCAATGGACTGTTGACATTTCAAAAGTACATAAGAGATGAATAAATTAGCGAAGCTATCTACATTGAAAATTGCCAAAGAAACCAGTGAATCGATGTGGCTATTGTAATGACCCGGTCATTTCCTTCCTTTTCTTTTTTCTCAGAATTTCACGGATGAATTTTTTTCATTGAAATTTCTTTTCTGAGTTCAGTTTCTCGTCGCTTAGTGTCATCTAGAGTGCTCGGAAATGGTTTCTGAGACTCTTTCCTTTGGATTGACAACTTCCTTTGAGGATCGAGTCATTTCTACATTTTTCGTTTTTCGACACTATTCACTTTTCATCCTTTTCCCTATTTTATCCTTTTTCCTATTTTGTCTTTTCCCTGTTTGTCACTTGGTTGGCATAACCTCACTCCTTGTGTTCGGAGTTGGTTTTTAACTTCACGTATCTTCATTCTAAGTGGTTTCCACGAAATACGTATCCTTACTTTTGCAGTAAAGTACTCTGGTTGCTCCCAGTGTCCATAGGGGCATGGATGCACAATTTTTCAGAATCTTTTTCTTTTCTTGGGATGTTTTTCGTAAATATCTTTTGAAAATATTTTGTTTTAGGGGTTTTTAAAAAAATATTTTTGAAAGATATTTTCATTCTGGGGCAGTTATACAGTTTTTACTTTTTGGAGGGGCCATTGTGCAATTAACGAAAGTTATTGCAAAATACCTCGTCTGGAGCCTGGATCCTCGTATGGGATTCATTTTCACATTTCGTCGAGTCGTGTACTCATAGAATTTCCTTCTGGTCATTTTTCTCCAGTTTCAGGGTTTCTGGCCCTAATTGCTGCCGAACTTGCTCGGGTCATAACTCTCTGCTCGGGACTCAGTTTTTGACGTCGTTTCTTCCATTGTTCATATTTTCTCATTTTGAATCTTTTTCGTTCACAGAGTTTTTCCATTTGAGCGCGTCTACTCAAATTTCACTTTTTCGGACCAGGCGGGGCCCGTTCAAGGCATTTTTTGAGATTTTCTATAAATAGGGGGACTCAAAATTAAAAAGTTATCTTCTCCCCTCTCCATACACGACCAGAACCTGCTATGGCAGCCCAAGGGAGCTGCCACCCTTGTTCTTTCATTTGAACCTTCTTCCCTTTGTTAAAAAGTCGAAGTGTCTTCGCGTTTTGTGTTTGTCTTGACCACGCGAATCTTTCCCCCTTATTAGAGCCCCTTTTTGGCCAAATTTTAAGTTCGGGTTTGAAGTCAAGTTGTGATTTTGATGGGGCTTCTTGTGGGTTCATGTAGATCGTGTTGTCCCCGACAAAACCCTTCGGTATCGTCGGATTCGGAACACTTTTTTTTCGGTGGGCTTTTGAGATTTTCATCTTTTGAGGTAGGGGATGTCTTAGGTTTATATTATTGTTGTATTGATTGTTTTATAAACATATACAACTTGTGAGCATGCCTTGTTCAAGTTTTTAGAATTTAATTTATTTATTTTCTTTGTTTAGGATTTAATTCTAATGATGATATATAGTTTAGAATTAAATTGTGGCATGCTAGTAAATTAGGCCTTGGTGAGTTGTGTAACATATATTAAATTTGGGACATTTGAATAAGAATTGCAAAACTTATTTAATATTTATCTTTTGTAAAAGATTAATTCACATAATTATATCAAGCATGAAATCAACTTGTAATATGATATTTAAGTAGGCCATGGTGAGTTCTTTAACATATATTAAATTGAGGATATTTGGATATGTTTGAAAATCTAGTGAAAAATTAATTAATTAGCTTAATTAATTTTATTTTAAGCGTGTTAGTCCCTTAAATTGATATTGAATGTTATAGGTTAATAATTCCTTGAAATGTAGTCCGTTTAATTACCTTATGAGTATATTACTAACTTGTTGTGGAATTAGTACTTGTGGGCTCTAAAGATGGTGATTTGATTTAGCATGATATGTGATATCATTGTCTTGCATAACTTGTTTAGATATATCTTGTGTAGGTATATAGCTTGTTAGAATATTAGAATTGTTTACCTTAGAAGCTAATTACTAAATTGGGACTTATTTAGTACTTGTGGCTTAGTGTAGTAATGTGGCTCAATTGTTGTAAAATATTCTTATTTTGGTGTATAAATTGCATATTGGAGACTTGACATGTCATATGCTATCTAGACTTGAACTCTAGGACTTGGTTTGTGTGGATTCAACCTTACTTGTGCATGTAAATTGATTCCTAGATATTATTTGAGATGTATAAGTTTAGTTTAACTTATTGATTTTGCATAAGTTTTGAACTTATTGTTTTTGAAAAGCTTGTAAAGACATATTTCACGTGATGGCTAAGGTTTGGCTCTAGTACGGAGATAAGAGTCTTCTAAGTCATAAGTACGCACTAGGTAGTACCTTGTGGGTCATAATTGCCTGAAATAACTTATGCATGTGCGCACTAGGTAGTGCCTTGTGGGTCGTAATTACCCGGAAACACTTGCTTGGTCTAGTGACCACATGTCCTAGTCTTTCTACTTTGTTTTCGCATTCAATTTCAAGTTGTTAATCATGGATTACTTGTAACTTAAGAATTGGTGTTTGCTTATGTATTTTGATCTCATTTAGTATACTTGAAACTGTATACTTGAACTTGTATCCTTGTTGGTGTATCTAAACTCTATCTAGTGTACTTACGCTTAGTATGCTTATCTTTTGTGTGCGGATTTCATTTTAGTATACTTGTGCCATGTATATTTGTCTTGTGTGTACGTGTTTAGCTTAGTATACTTGTATTTGTATACTTGATTTATGAGTACTCTGTACATATATCTTATACTTGTGTATGTATTCTTTTGTGTGCGGATTTCATTTTAGTATACTTGTGCCATGTATATTTGTCTTTTGTGTACGTGTTTAGCTTAATATACTTGTGTTTGTTTACTTGTGTTTGTATACTTGATTTATGAGTACTCTGTACATATATCTTATACTTGTGTATGTATGCTAGATATTGCTTATCCCGTTTAACATGATTTAGTATACTTGTGAGCATATGTACTTGAATATCGTGTATCATGTTTTAATATGGTTTAGTATACTTGGAAAATATATGCTTGTATGTTGTATAACATATTTTAATATTGCTTAGTATACTTGAGCATGTATATTTGTATGCCGTTGTTCACTTTATATTACATGAGTAGCTTAGGATGATCCCTGAATCTCACTTTGACATAGACGTTAGGTGGCATGAGCCCCTTTAACATGTTTCACCTTAAGGTGATATAATTGTAAAATGTTAGGTCGATGCATGTTCATCTCCTACGAGTAGCTTTATGTTACTCACCCACGTAGTAGGGACATTTTTCAGGTATCGGGATCAAGATTTGGGATTCACATCTTGCTTAGATGATTTGTAGACTTGAAATTCTCATTTCTTGTAAATGTTGGCTTAAAATGCCATTTATAGCTTTATATGTTAAAATGTGTAAATTTGATTCTATTTTGTAATGTGTACATAAGTACACTCTTTATAATGTATTTGACATGTATGAAAGGCCATAGGCCACTGACATCTAATTTGTATCCTATGTAACTTTTAACTTCATGAAATATTATGAAAATATTGAAAAATGCCGAGTCATTGCTTCATTATGCTTGCATCGGGTGTGGAAATTCCATTTTTATTCTTTCATAAGGTCTTATAAATCATGTTTGAAGTGTGGCCAAGAGCCAAACGGTAATTTGAAATCATTGTTAATTTTGGTTTTTAAATTTCCCTTTTCTTGTTTATTTTTGCCTTTTTGCCCGTTGAGGGGTCGAATTTTGCATCGGTGGTATTTTTAAGCCATGGACCATTGTAGCACGTCCTAATAGGTAAGTTACATTTGCGTGCATGGTCATTTCAGGGAAAACCTTCTTCTTTGGTGAAATGAGCCTCTTATGGACTCATTTTGAAATTTTATTGCATAATCTGTTTTAAGGGCATTTTGGGATTTTCCTTAGGGAAATAAATTCCGGTCTTCACATGATTTTAGAGGGGGTTTCTTCTTCGTGTTTTTCCAGAAAATGTCGTCTTAGTACTGGAAATCCCTCATGAAGTTTCAGCTTCCAATTTGCATTTTAGCAGCTTTTTGCCCCTCTTGACCCGTTCTGATCTAGGGGCATTTTGGGGATTTTGCAGTGAGTTTTTTTCGTTTCCTTCTGTGAAGTCGGGTAGAAAACTCGATTTTAGGGGGAGTTTCTTCTTCGTGTTTTTCCAGAAAAGTTCGTTTCGGCTTCCGTTTGAAGTCTCAGTTCTGGAAAACTTGCTTTGGACCCTTGCTGTCAGCATGGTCATGCCATTGGGTGCCGGCGCGCGTGCCGGCATGGGCGCCGGGCACGCATGGGGCTGCCATGGCCTTCGTCGGGCCGCCGCGACGTCTCAACTTCAAGCACTCGTTTCTCCCTCGTCCGGACTCCAAATCGAATGAACTTTTTTTTGAATTTGACTAATTTTTCACTGTCTTTCCAACGGTGTGCTTGGTTGCACCCGAATCTTCTTAGATAATTACCAGTTTACCCTTTTGCCTTAAGTACTCGTTTTTCTTCGTCATGCCGTTTCTCCTTCGTCCGGACTCCGAATCATGCGATTCTTGAGTCCATCTTGATTAGTTTTTCGTTGTCCTTCCAGCGGTGTGCTCAGTGGCACCCTAGTCCACAGTTTTCAGAAATGACTATTTTACCCCTGGAGGCTTATTTGTCATATTTTTGGTCTTTTGCTTCCGCATCAGTTCTTATTGAGTTCCACGACCTCATGGAAGGTCACTTTGACTTCTTAGAGTCTTATTTTCTATTTTCGCTTCCGCATTTCAGATCCGTTATTGGGTCAAACTACGGTTCATCACAGGACGAACTGGCTTGAAAAACCAGGGCCGTCACAGCTATGCAAAGTACAAAATACCAATTATGAAAGCATCAAACTCTTTATACTTAAAATAGCAATAAAAATATATATATGTGTACGTAAAAGAATCTGAAAATGAACAAGGCAATGTGAACTCTAGTTGGAGAATGGTTAAGAAACACAAAAAATTTCATGCAACAAACAATGCAAAGAGACCGGAACTATAACCGTTTCATTCTTTATTCTACAAAATTTGAAAGCATAATTCCATGTGACATACAAAAATCAATGCACCACTAGAAATATTCCAGAAAATAAAAAATGCATCACTAGAAATGCAAATGATCAAAACATAGTCACTTGATAAAATTCAAAGGGTTATCGCCTATAGCAAAGAAACAAGCAAACTCATTTCAAATGCATTCAACATTGCATTTTTTATTCTATAGCTTTTGAAGGCACAGCTCTATGGATATATCCATTACAGAAAATCAATTCATCACAAAGAATGAAACTTAAACTCAAATGAATGAAGGAAGAATTAAGCATCCCAAGAATAGAGAACATTTCTACTTTTGAAGGCAAAAGTGCATTGCACATAGCCCATAACAGAAAACAGGTGTGAGAAAAACTCAAAAATCAGTTGATAAAATTTGCAAAAAAAAAAAAAAGCACGCAAATACATTATGTATTCCACTGCGATTGAGATACGAAACTTGCGAAAAGACGCAATTCCATGTTTGCACTTAATAAAGACAAATGTAAGATAATAATATCAACAACAGATCATGTATTAAGGTGCCATAAAATTTATTGAAAATATTAATAAGTTACAATGTGCATATATCTAAACACCAAAAAGAAACAAAAGCCATATGTAAACAAAGGTTCACACTAGTAAATTAGTGACATTCATATCATTTCTCATGACCAAATTACTATCCTTAATGTGGTATGGCTAAGCAAAATTTTCCAACGCTTCATTCTGAACTTCAGTCTGTTTCAAAAGACAATATCTTTCGAAAGTTGAAATTTATCCTAATTGCATCATATTAGTGTTGAAAACTATATATAAATTTTAAATTATATATGCAATTGTAAGCAGCTCTTAACGAAAAAACAGATCTGGAAGATTTTCAAATCTTTAATTTGTAAAAAATGGTTGCGGCTTCAAGGGTGAAGTACAGAACCTGAGAGGAACGCAAGATTTTTTATGCCTCTGACATCTCAATGCTACCAGCTCGGCAGTTTCAAATTTAATAATAGGATCCTCAGCACAGGCCAGCAGGGCCATTCCATTCTTTAATCTGAATCCAACTTCGATCCATCACCTTGCCATAAGTTGAACAACAGTGTTGTGGTCCTATCATATTCAAGAATGCATAGCCTTTATTCCTGAGATTAAATGCGCGAATGAATGATTAATTATATCAAGAATACAATAATTTAGAATTTTGATGAGAAGAGAAAAAAAATAATTCAAGCAACTTAAAATAAAATAGAAAAAAGAAAAAAAGAAATAACCAAATAGCAAGACTCCTGGATTGAGCAACTCATGATGCATGACTGCATAAACCTTCTAATGATGTAAATCAAAGAGCAAAACTCCCAGATTCAAAACCCATTATATCAAATAACAAGATATACAAAAATCAAAAGCAATTGAGTTGTAGAGATGAGAAAGAGAGACCAATCATAGAATCTTGGAATATATGGTTTCTTAAATTTGAAATTGTTCCCAAATAACAAGTTAAATTTGTTTTATGTATGCCTTTTTGTAACCCCAAATGATATAACAAGGCATTTGTATTAATTAAAGTGATGAGCATTTCTCTTTAGGCCTGCAGACAGGTATCTCACTGAACAGTTCCATTGGGTTTGTCATCTAAGTCAAACATAGAGTTGGTTCTAGTATGAGAAATAAACTGAAACAAAAAACGGGGCAATTCAAATTAAGGCCATTACGAATTGCATATATTAGCCAAGTATAACTATTAACTAACAATTAGATTTGGGACAACACAAGAATGCTTGATTTATTTTGCGTCCGGGTGAAAGGCATTTGCAATGGAGTAACTCATTGGGGGAGCATAAAAGTGAAAAAATATAATACAACACTCAGCTTGTTTTTCTCAAGACTTTAAATTACTTGTGCAATTTTAGTAAACTAAATTTGAACCAAATAAATATGATCTTTTAAATCAAATCCACTTGGGACTTGAGTCAAAGTGTGTGATTAATTATATGAAAACCTTTTCATTGTAGAGAAAAGTTGAAGGCATTGCCTAGCAGTGATGAGTGGGTGCTCTCTCACTTTGAGTCATTTATTTATGTGTTGTGTTCATTAAAATTTACATACATTGTTAGATGGTTTAGAAATATTTATTCATTTAGTAAAATGATGAATAAATTTTTTAAATCAAAATATTGAAGGGGCGTTATTCTGAACTTTGTCCTGTTGTACAGTTCGAGTAAGTTGAACTTGTAAAACCAAAACAATTACAGCTTTAAACATAATTTTCATTGGTTAGACTTAAAAGATCTAATCTATTTGGTTCAAATTTAGTTTTCTCATATCCATTTTAGGGTGCCCAGTGATGGCGTTTTGTAGAAGTAACAAGCAGTCATAAAAAATGCAATTTTTTCTCGTGCTATGTTAAGCAAAAGCATAGCAGGAAATTTAAAAAATGAATTACATTCTGCTAGTGATTTAATGAATGAAAATATGTTAACTCCAATAACCTACAAAAGTAAAAGAATCCTATCCACTCACACCAACATTAATATAAATGTGTGTGTGTGTATTCAGTTCACGGTATGCCATGGATATCAATGATACCTTGGTTAACTACTATGCTAACAACCCAATTTTCCAGCAATGGTGGTATGGTATTTCTAAAGGGAGAAATCCAACTGATATATTAGATGTTCAAAATGCTCTACATTAAATAAATAAATAAAATAATCAGATGTTCAAAAAGCTCAACATATATCAGATGTTCAACTGATATCAATTAGTTTTGGAACTCAATCCCATTCAAAAGTTTTAACATAAGAAAACAAAACAAAAATCCAAGTTTTAAGCCATATTGCTAAACCTTGGAGGATTTTTCATATTATATAAATGTATTTTATTGTATAATGAATAATATTACAGAAAGTTTTAATCTTGTCTCTCAGCAACCAAACAAAACATTAAGGTTTATATTAGTCTCCAAGTTTTAACCTGGAAAGAGTTTTTAACAGTACTTTGATCAGAAAATGCCCCCAAAATCTACGCTTAATTAAAATAAAATTAAAATTATAAAAAAGAAGAAAAAGAATCAGGTAAATGAAGAATGATAAACACTAATGTGGACGGATAAAACCCTAAAAATTGAAAATGAAATCAAAATTTTGATTACCTGCTAATAAGCTGTATGAAAGAAATTGAGAGCTACCTGATAATGACTTTAATTGTATTTTCTCCAAACTTCATTCCCCAAATCAGACGGACTTATGAAACAGATCTGATGCATATAAGGTCTAAAAAATAGAGAAACAGAAAAATACTAAATACATGGACGCAAAAAAAATATCAGAGAACTCGCGAAAGACGAAGCTCCAGCAAAATTCGTACCTGGGCAATTTTCCTCTAAAGGTGAAATTCGCGAAAGACGAAGCTCCAGTAAAATTCATGCTTGGATTTAGAGAGGGTTAGGGTTTCGTATGGATTCGAGAGAGAGAGAGAGAGAGAGAGAGAGAGAGGGCTGTTTTGGTTGATTGATGCGTACGAAGTTTGGGAGGAGAAATGAATTTTTTTTAGCGCCGCCTGTGGAAAACAAGTGCCTGGAAAATGAAATTTTACAAAAAAAACCCTTAACCCTATTCTACAATGGGCTATGCGGGCCTGTTGTAGAAGGTCTCTACAATGGGCTATGCAAGCCTGTCGTAGAAGAATACCTTTTTACAATGGGATATGCGGGCCTATTGTAAAAAATGTGTTGTAAAAGACCCAAGGTGTCACAATTCCATCGTTTTGAATTCGGCCAGTCAAATAGTCAGTTTGTGCTCAATTTCTTCAGGGGTTAAAATGCTCAGGGTTATTCTACAGAGAACATCATATGCAGAAGGCATAAGCCCCATATAAAAGAACTCATAACTCAAAAAAATAATAAAACAATGCATGATCTAGGTTTGAGACAAATAAAAATTAATAAAATAATTCATGATCCGAGTATGAGACAAATAAAAAATAATAAAACAATGCATGATATGTGGGTGAGACAAATAAAAAATAATAAAACAATGCATAATCTGGAGGATAAAACAATGCATAATCTGGGGGTTACACGTACCTTGAAAAAAAACATAAAACTAATGTGATTATAGAAAGGCAAAAAAAGACATATATATAGAGAGAGTATAGATTTTTTTAGAAATAACAAATAGATAAAATAGATAACTTAAATTTTATTAGGTAATAATTTTCAAAGTTTCATAGAAACTCTTTTTTAGAGTTTCTATAATTTGAAATATATTTTGTATTAGAGTTTTAATAAATATTTTATTTGAATTTTATTAGGTAATAATTTTGAGAGTTTCTATAATTTGAAATATATAAATTGAAATGTATTTTGTGTTAGAGTTTTAATAAATATTTTATTTGAATTTTATTAGGTAATAATTTTTAGAGTTTTTATAATTTGAAATATATTTAGTTTTAGAGTTTTAATAAATATTTTATTTGAATTTTATTATGTAATAATTTTTAGAGTTTCTATAATTTGAAATATATTTTGTCTAGCAAGGCAAAAAAAAGACTTATATATAGAAAGAGTACATATTTTTTTAGCAACAACAAATAGATAAAATAGGTAATTTGAATTTTATTAGGTAATAATTTTTAGAGTTTTATAGAAGCACTTTTTTCTTTTTCTTTTTTTAGATTTCTATAATCTGAAATATATTTCATGTTAGAGTTATAATAAATATTTATTTGAATTTTATTAGATATTAATTTTTAAAGTTTCTATATTTGAAATGCATTTCGTGTTAGAGTTTAAATAAATATTTTATTTGAATTTTATTAGGTAATAATTTTTAGACTTTCTATAATTTGAAAAGGTTAGCCAAAAGGCTGCGAAAGTAATACTACACTTGATTTTAGCCAAAAGACCGAGAAAGGTGTGATTATTATTGCTTTAGGTCTATAGTTTTATAAGAGGCTTCCATGTAATCCTTTTTACTTAATACCAATGTGGGACAAGAAAAATGAATTTTATTAGGTAATTTGTAATTTGAATTAAGCTCTTTAAATTAATTTTTATAAATTTTATTAGGTAATTTGTAATTTGAATTAAACTCTTTAAATAATTTCTAGGTAATTTTTTGTTTATAAAAACTCATTTTTTATATTAATAAATAAATACTAAAAGACTGAAACTCTTTGCACATTTAAAAGGCCAAGAAAGTAAGATTAGTCAAAAGGTTGAGAAAAGTTAGCCAAAATGTGACGACCCTGGATTTTTCAACCCAGTGTGTCCTGTGATGACCCGAAACGGATCCAAAATACGGAAGAAAAAGAAAGAAGGTGACCTCTAGAGATGTACGTCATCCCTAAGGCACCAAAATAACTCCACATGAAGCTATGAAACTCAAATAAGCCAAGTAATGAAGTAAGAATGCCAAATCCGAAGAGAAATGAACCAAGGGGTAAAATGGTCATTTCACACCAAAATGGGTGCCACCGTGCACACCATTGGAAAGACAACAAAAAATCAACAAGAATAAACTCAAGAATCGCATGATTCGGAGTCCGGATAACAAAAATATCAAGTTCTGAAGTCGAAGGAAAGGAAACCCTATCCCGATCCGAACCAAAAACAGACACTACCTTAATAAAACTTGAATATCTTGAGTTACAAGAAGCATCTGAAGCTATAATTAATACCATTGGAAAGCTTATTTCGACGCGGTCAATTTAGACTCAAGAACGGACCAATTCGGAGTTAACACGAAGAAGATATGATAGTTTGAAGTTGGAGGTGCAGTGATGAACCAAGACACAAACACACACACACATGAACAGTGTAATGACCCGGATTTTTCGGATAAATTTTTTTTCGTTGTCTTTTCCCTTCTGAGTTTGGTTTCTTGTCAATTAGTGTCATCTCGAGTGCTCTGGAGTGATTTCCGAGACTCTTTTCTGTGGATTGACAACTTTCCTTAAGGATCGAGTCATTCCCACATTTTTCATTTTTCGATACTATTCACTTCTGTCTTTTTTCCTATTCCGTCTTTTTCTCATTTGTCACTCTGTTTGCCTAACCACACTTCTTGTGTTCGGAGTTGGTTTCTGACTTCACGTATCTTCATTCCCAATGATTTCTATGAGATACGTATCTTTACTTTCGTGAGAAAGTACTCTGGTTGCTCCCGGTGCCCATAGGGGCATAAATGCAAAGTTTTTTGGAAACTTTTTCTTTTCTTGGGGTGTTTTTCATAAATATCTTTTGAAGATATTTTATTTCAGGGGTATCTAAGAAAATATCTTTTGGAAGATATTTTCATTCTGGGACAGTTTCGCAGTTTTCACTTTTTGGAGGGGTCATTGTGCAATTAATGAAAGTTATTGCTCAATACCTTGTTTTGAGCCTGGATCCTTGTATGGGATTCATTTTCACATTTCGTCGAGTCGTGGACTCTTAGAATTTCCTCCTGGACGATGTTTTCCAGTTTCAGGGTTTTTTGCCCCAGTTTGCGCCAAACTTGTTTTAGTCATAACTTTCTACTCGGGACTCGGTTTTTGACACCATTTCTTCTGTTATTCATATTTTCTCATTTTGAATCTTTTTCGTTCACGGAGTTTTGCCATTTGAGCGCGTCTGCGCGAATTCCACTTTTCCGAACCCGGCGGGGCCCGTTCGGGGCACTTTTTGAGTTTTTCTATGAATAGGAAGTTTTAGAAAGAAAAATCAAAATTTTCTCTCTCTCTCTCTCCTCTCTCATGACCGGTCCAAGCTCCATCCATGGCTGCCATCTTCTCTCTCCTCTTTTAGACTTCTTCCCTTCATTAAAAAATAGTGATGCCTTTGTGTTTATTGTTCCCCTCGGCGAGGCCTTCGTTTCCAACCGATTGGAATCTTGTTTTAGCCGTTTCTTGAGTTCAGGTTTGAAGTCAAGTTGTGTTTTTGATTGGGCTTCCTTGGGATGCATGTTCGTGGTGTTGTCCCCGACAAAACCTAGGAGTTTCGTCGGATTCGGAGCCGATTTATTTTAGTGGGGATTTGAGATTTCATCTCAAATGGAGGTAGGGAATGTTTTAGACTTTTGAGTGTGTTGTATTGAGTGTTTAGCATGATTATACAACTTATACATGTGCCTTGTATCAAATCTAGAAAGTTAGTAATTTTTAATTCTTTGTATAAGATTTAAAATTCATGATGATATATAACTTTGATTTGAAGTGTGACATGGTAGAAAATCTTGTTTTAATATATTGGTTAACATATATTAAATTTGGATTAATTAAATAAGAATTGCTTTTTTAATTAATATTTATCTTTTGTGAAAGATTAAAGTTCATGGCCGTACCTTGCATGAAATTGAGTTGTATTATGCTTCTAAATTAAGTTTTAGCATGTTTGCTAACATACTTAAATTTGAGAGCATTTGGTTGAGTTTGAAAATTTAGAGACTTTAATTAAGAGAATTAATTAAAATCTAATTTTTTGTGGTTTCATGGGCCTAATTAAGTTTTTGTGTGAATATATGTAATCATCATGATATGTCTTTTATCATATATTAGATTGAGGCTATTTGGAAATGATTTGAAATCTAGAGAGTTTAATTATTTTGATGTAATTAAATTCTATCTTGTTTATCCATGGATCTAATCATGTTTTAGAAGTTGTTTCTATTTTAAGAGTATGGATTTTGACTTGTGTAGTATTCACTTGATTGTGTTATATGCATTGAATGGCATTGTTGTTAAATTTATATTCATGAGAGTATGCTTCTAATATGAATATATTGTTGGCTTGTGATTTCATAGCATTATGGATATAAAATGCTTATTATGCACAATTAAGAGTTATATTGCTAACTTGTTACCATGTAGTAGTAATGTGTATAAGTTATGAACTTATTTGGATTATTTTGGAGTTGTTTGGGACATTGTTAAGCGGTGATGGCTAGGGTTTGACTTTAGTACGGGGACAAGAGTCCTCTAAGTTAAAAGTTCGCGCATTGGGTAGGCTGCCTGGGGGTAGTAGCTCCAAATTAGCCCTATAAAGTTCACGCGTCGGGTAGGCTGCCTGGGGGTTAGTAGTTCCAAATTTACCTTGTCTCGGCGGAAATCCGAGCTTTGATGTCCAAGTCTTCCACTATTTGTTTTCGCATTCATTTCCAAGTTGACAATCATGTTTACCTTTTTGACTTGTGGTTTTGGCTATTGGCGATTTTGATGTTGTTAAGTACATCCATACTAAATTGATATATTTAGTTGATTTCACACTTTTAGATTTCTAGTTGATAACTCAGAGAATCTATGTCTTGATGTGTGATATTAGATATTCTAATTATGCTAAATTGTTATATTTAGTTGATATTGCATTTTAGACTTCAAGTTGAATACCTTGAGAATCTCTATGTTGTTACTTTGTTTAAGCATGCTCTTATGTTGTTACTTTGTGTAAGTATGACCCTATGTTGCTAAAATTGGATGAATGATGTGATTGATGCTAGAAATGATCTTAGGTAGCTAGGATACTCCTTGAGTCTCACCTTTAACATAGACGTTAGGTGGAATGAACTACAATAATTAAATCATGCAAACTTGTAAAACGTAGGTCGATGCATGCTCATTTCCTACGAGTAGCTTTATGTTACTCA